TTACGTGCCGCCATGATGCGAATCCCATCGGTGCCCGAATTCGGGCACCAATCCAAGAGCCAGCCCGGAAGTACGAGTGAATCACAATTTGTTCATTCTCTTTTCATGTCTTGCCGCTGGAGACGCTTTGACAACGAATTCTGGGGAATAGTCTTGCCTTCCCTCAAACCCCGCGATCGTACCGGTCACCTCTGGGGATGGGCATCGTTAGCAACAGTCACCCCACTGTCTGACAGTTGCTGACTCCGCTGCCAACCACCCCCCCTAGTTAGAGGGTTGTCGCCTCTGGCGTTGCCCTGAGCCTTCGTGCCACGAAAATTGCATTGCGTTGACCCCCATGGGCCTCGCGACGAATATTGCTAGCAGCAAAGAGCTTCTAGCGGGTCAGCCGGACAATCTAGGTTTGCAAATATGCGTGTTTCTTTGACACTGAGTTGTCGGACACTCTGGGAGAGTTGGGCAATGAGTCTGCGAATAACGTCACCAAGTAGCTCATAATGCTACCGATGGGCTCTGGGAGCCGCAGGCCGTGCATTCGCCGCCAACCAGAAGCAGTTTTCGCACTGTGGGTGCGTGCGCTGCACGCCACTTGTATTGTGGTTGGCGCGAGGGTTTTCTTCGGGATAGATTTGTTGTGCTGACACCTTTGAGCATCTGTTTGAATTTCCGAGTGACGCCTTTGCGTTAAAAGAGTGGCACAACGCATTAGACGGGGCGGCGTTTTAGCTACCTCGCCAAGTGCGCTTTGCTAGGGATGCGCACAGCTCAAAGACTCCACAGAGTTAGTTGTTTTCGCAGTCCCATGGCCCGGCCATGGTGCAGCCACCGATGGCAGCGCTGAGTCACCAACTCCGTTACCAGCGACTTCAGTTCGCGTGCGCATTGTGCCATCTACTTCTGTTAGCAGCACCACATGGCCTGCCTTCCAACTTGACCCTCCCCGCCCAACCAACCTCTGGTGCGCTGTCCTCGCGCAACGCAGCAGAGGCTGGTTGTACTATTTCTCCACGGGGCGCGGTGCTGTCGGGGTTGAGATGCGCTACGATCGCAAGCCAAAACTTAAAACCCGTCGAATTTGTGTGGTTTTTCAGAAAGCCGTAAAATGCTGCGTGTGCCTTCTATCGTTCTGCAATTTGTCGACTTACACCCGTATTCACCAGACGCAGGTAGCGCCTGTCTAACCAGTGACTAGCAACGTCATCGACTAAAATGATCACGTGGCCAGCGATAGTCGCCGCTAAGTGAGTGCTTGGTATTCACCAGTCCTGCTTAGGGCCTAGTCGCTCCGTGCGACTAAGTCAACTAACAAATATTAGTCATAGGGTAGGGCTAGTTTAGCCGGTATTCAGCGGGTGACTAGCGGCTCAGCGCCATGGCGTATCACTGCTGACCGCCAGCGCTACTGAAGCACTTACTGTCCTGGAATGCTGGGGGACACAACTAGAAAGAATTGGAGGAGCAAATCTTGTGTAAATAGCCATCTTCAACGATCAGCAATACCGCTAAAGAGATCTGAGCAGGGCGCTGGACGACGAGAAAAAATGTGTTTATGGGCGCTTCCATATTTGTTTATGTCGCTGGCAATGAGGCTGCCATGATTCTTGTTGTGTTTTTTACTTTTTCTGTGTAAAACTCTCTCGGACAATTAGCCTCTCATTGTAACTTTTTTGTTCCTGATAAACATTTAAATATTAGTTTTTATGCGATAAAATACTCATTTACGCAGAGGCGTTTAAGTATGTGTAAGTGTGACCTATCTTTTTATGCCATTTCCGCTTGCTTGTTAGTTCTGACTAGATAGTCACCCACTCGCTTCGAGCTCGTGAATACCTCAGAACTAGTCGATTCTTAGTCGCTGATTTTTTCTCTTAGTTCGGGACTACTAGACGCAATACTAACCTTAAAACAGCGCTAGTTAGTCACGACTGGTGAATACGGCTGTTAGTGTTTTTCAATGATGTTGAGCAATTTTCTCATTGAAACCAAGCCCTTGAACACAATATTAAAAAAGTTAATTACGGAAAAGTAATAAACAACTTAATTATCCCAAACTGTGGAAAATGTGCGTGCCCGTGTCCCAGGACCAAAACGACACGAGCCTTTCTTCTGTCGCGACGCGCAATTTTCACAATACTGAATTTGTCCACCTTTGGTGAAACACCCTATATATGCACCACATTCCTTCCCAAGTCCTTTTGCCTGCACACCAGGAGAGGGTCCAAGGGGGGAGGTGACGGGGGCGGCCGCCCCCCCCCCCCCCTCCCCCCTTTTCGAAGGGCAATTGACATGGGTGGACCCCCGGTGCACACGAAAGAATGGGAGAATAGCATCCTTACAAATGCCCCCCCCCCCCCCCCCCCCAGCACGAAGTTCTGCACACACACCACTTTTATATATGTGCACCACACATTTTTTTTTTCTCTCCATCCCTTTGTCAATTCATCCCCTCATCTTAAGACGCACCTCTTCATCTGCCTCCCTCCCCTCCTCTCTCCTTACCTTCCTACAGTGCCTTCCCCACTTAATTAAACGGGGAAGCTGGATTGGTGCAGAAGTCATGTGACGCCAAATTCAATGCTAAACTTAACAAGGTTCCCTTTTTCCCCGTCTCTATGTGTCTCCCTCTGCCTCCAATATAAAAATCTATGACCACCAACATTTTGCCCGAGCTCCCTTTAATTTTTCCAAGCAGTCTTGTTGACCATGAAAGTTGGGTATGCTTTGATGACCTACATCGTTAGGTCCTTGGGAAACTGAGTGCTAATTCGATCTTAATCATCGATATGCAAAATGCATGTAAGGTCAATGGTTTGTCTCAACTCAACTAACATTTATGTGCAGCAATAAAAAATTTGAGTGCAAAAAAAAGTAATCTTTTTAACTGAAGCTGCTAACAGAGGGCTTATTACCATTACTTCCAAAATTATGTTTTAGTAAACTTGACTATGTTCATTTTTATTGCAAGAACCATTAATGAAGAGAAGGTTGGCCCCTAGTGGAGTGTTATTAATTTCCTACTTCGTGTACAGAATTAGGATGACATGTGCATTTAAGGGGGGACATGGCCTCGGAATTAAAAATTTTCAGAGAAAAACATTTTTTTTAAAAATGATATGTTTATGCTTATTAACTTCCAAAGAATGGTTTCAGAAACTTTAATTTATAAACAGGCAGGATTTATCTCAGAATAAATTATTTTTGACATGTCGGCAGCCCTCCGAGTCAGGAGGGAGCAAGCTTTTTGCATTTTTTATTTAGCACTGCTTCATACTCGTTTAACCTAGCCACAACATCTCACCCTCATTGGAAGTGCCATTTACTCTAGATTTAGCCTGTAGAAGCTTTCCAAGTTTACAAGTATCAATGGCTAGGAGGACCCAATACATCCAAACAGAAAAAATTCTGAAAATTTGGTATGAGCAATCTTATTGGTTGAGACCCGAAACAGGGTTTACAAGTGGCCCTGCCCGGTGGCATGATATTATGTCATCTTCAGTAACACCCTTTCACAGTATCTTCCACTTCAGGCCCTATTCCTGCCTTACTGCTCTTCCTTAGTATGATTTGCCTCTTAGTTCTTGCCAGTTTATTTGTCAACGAATGCCTGCTGCAAACGTTAGCTAGCCTACAAATGACACAAACTGGTAACTATTGCCAGGGGAACAGGGAAGTCTCAAAGAGGAAGGTGCTAACAATGCGCCAGGTGAATTTTGCCTACCTCGGACTCACAGAAAAGAAAGAACCTAAAGTTGAAACTTCAAATGCATTTTCCTCAGTTTCACTTTTTGGCAGGAAATGTGGTACGAGGAAATGTATCATTGGACATTTTGAAAGTGCAAAGATTTCATTCAGTGCTGTCCTTGACTGAAATTTCCTGAGGAACAAGTTAAGGTACTCATAATCTGAAAAAGCTAAATTCTTCATGACAAAAACTGAATATTTTAAAACTCAGAAATTTGTTAAAATCATTTGCTTTTTTTGGATGTTATTGTTTTTCTCTAGAATTGCATTTTCTACAATTAATTTTTACCTTAACTTGCACTGTGGGTATTTTACTTCACATTATACAAAACATTTTGTGGATTGCAATTTTTATTTTTATTAAGTACATTTCCTAATAAAGTAACTTTTTTCTGAAGCTTGTTAAGCATAGTATGTTGTAGAATTGGCCTATAAGACTAAAACTTTAGATGTCACCAATTCTAGTGAGGTTCAATTCACCCTGAAAGTTTGAATCACTTTGAGACAATGGTTCAAAAGTTGACCCTCCCAGGCCATGTCCCCCCTAAGAGCAGTTAAAGTCTGCTGGTTTCGGATGCAAAAACCTGTTTTCTTTTGGATCCGACAACTAACCACTTTGCATTATCTGTGTGCAAAACTTGCATTCTGACAACGAGGGCTGTTCCTACTTGGTCAAAACTATCTCAAATGCAACAACTACCCGCAGTTGTACCACCCGGAAATTCAGGTCGCTTTCCAAATACCAGAGCCACTGCATAAGCTGTGTTTGGAGTAAGGTCAGTCCAACCATATCGTTGCACAGCATGAGTACTGTCAGTTGTCCCGAGCCTCATGTGCCTACGCCTTGTATCAGTTCAGGATAAACAGCAGTCCAATCAAGAAGCATTTAGAAAGCTTCTGGTGTGCGCCCACTCTGGGCAAGTGCGTGCGCCTTCCCACACCGATGGGAACACTGGAGCAATACGACACGTGGCTTCTAAAGGGTCATGACAGGACCACAAAGGATGCAAAAAGCGCTTGCTGTTCTCCTGAGTGGCCGGGAGAACGGCAAGCGCCAGAGTCTCGCGACGTCCCACTTTCAAAATAAACGTCGCCCAAGGTGCCCGTCAACCATCGGCAAGTTGGTGAATGTCGCACGATGCTCGTGGTACTGTTAGACGGAGGAAGAAGAATGCGAACGGCCCAAGCGGCTTAGCTTTCAAACGACTCGACCAAGACCATCCACGGGTCGCCTTTTAACGCGGCAGAAGGGAACTCACCATCGGCAGCTTCCCGCGACGCCTCCAGTGCCGCAGCCGTCGCCGTCCTTTCGGGCTCCCAGTCTCCGGCCCTCCGGGCACTCTCCTCCACTACCACGGGCGTCCTGCCTTCACCGTTCCTCACTTCCCCCACTTCCACTGCCACCGGTGCCACTTCCACCTCTTCTTCCTTCTCCTCCGCGGCTGGGACTGCCGCCGTCTCCTCCGGCGCCGTCGGCGCCGCCACCCTCTCCTCCTCAGCGGGTGGCGATCCCTGCCGCTCTGCGGGCGAGGGGGCAGTCGTCGTCGCGGCGGCCGCGGCAGCCACCCATTCGGCCACCCTTTCGTTGGACTTAGTCTGGGGCGGTTCTAGCACCGCGGCGGCCGGCGGAGGCGGCGCCGGTGCCGCCGGGGATTTGGAAGGCGCCGGAGCATCGACGAGTGTCGCTGCCACTTGGGCGGCAAACGTGCCCGGGATGTCACTCGTGCTGCTCGAGGACGGCTGCTGCTCCTGCCAACGCATAAAAGGAAACAAGGGTGGAGTCCCTCGTGCGCTGTGCAAGCTGTGCTCCGTTCACCCACTAAGCTCGCGGTGCAGTGGAGGCTACGGACTGGTTGGACCAGTCATACGAGCGGGGAGCGAGGTCAGATGACAAGTGGGAAGCAGTTAGTTGGTCTGGCAAATCCATAGCTTCCAACGTACAGTCAGCCAAGGGGTGAACGGAAAACGGGCGCGACATGGAACGTACCGATGACGCGACGTTGCGAGCGCTTTAGAAATTGAGACTGCAGGCTGTTGAGCCTGCTGCATTACATCTCGCAAATCGTGTGCCGCGCCATTACAGGTACCGATGAAAGAAAACAGCTGCACTCGAGGCTGGAAAGAAAAAAGGAGGAATTCCCCCTTTTTCCGATAGCCCAAGGAAAGCTACCCAATTTAAGACTCTTTGCCGTAAAGCCCAAACATTGTTGTAGTGCCCTTTCAGCACCGTCTAGTCCTCTGCAATTCGCACAAAAGTGTCATCCTCCCACTCCGCTCCACAGCAGTGTACGCAGTCTTGGGTAGTAACACGTTACTGTAACTTTACTTTTTTGGTAACTTGCAACTGTAACGAGTTACTTTTTAAAAATTAACTTAGAACTGTAGTTCTATTACTTTTTTTCTGAGGTAACGATGAAAGTAACAACGTTACTTTTGCAGTTACTTTCCAGTGTTTTATGAATAATATACTGTAAAACCCTTAATGTTCGCGAGCCCTCAATTTTCGCGAATTGAAGAATTTGCGAAATTTAAGGGCGCGCGAAAATTTTGTTTCTTAAGATTTTCAATGCAGGCGTCTGGAATTCGCGAAATTTAGTGGTCGCGATTATGTCATCTGTGACCGATTCGCGAAAAATAGGGGCCGCGAAAATAAAGCGTTTTACAGTATCACTGAACAAGTGCAATTTAGCCACTCCTTGCACTTTCCAAATTGTCTATTCCCACATTTCGAGTGTCAAGTTGGCCTTGCACAAAGTTGTGAATACGTTCTTTCTCGTGAGTCACGACCCGAATATAGCCACATATAGATTTCATGAAAAAATATCTAGTTAACTTTAAGCACGCACTTGTACTTTGTGACCGAACACTTACATCTTAGCGTCTTGAAGCACTATCTATGTTGTGGTTTTTCTTTTTTCTTTTTTGTGCGAACGCTTTTTAATTGGGTGAATCAACCGTGAAACAACAATACACGTGGAGGGCACTGCGCATGTCTCGTATTTTGATTAACGCCACTACTCTGCACTGCGCATGTTTCGTATTTTGATTTGCGGCTCTACTCTGGCGTGGAAACTTTCAAACACTTAGGCCCGCTTCAGACGGGGCAACTTTTCCAGCAATTTTGAGGTTGCTGGCGGGTTGTTCCCTAGCTTTCCCTAGATCGACGCGAATTGCTGAGATCGGGTCCGGCTCGAACAAGCAACTCGGAGCAACTCGGTGCAATTCGAAGACGGTTGAAGCAGCTGCAGCCAATCAGAGACGCGATATTTTCACGTGATACCCCTGTGGTGGTGATGATGACAGCTAAAGACTTAGTTATGGTTTAGAATGGATCGTTTTCGGAAATACAGTTAAACCTCGATGTAACAAAGTCGGTAAAATTCGCAATTTACTTCGTTACATTGAAATTTCGCTAAATCGAAATTTGGCTTTAGCATGCAAAAAAACAAATTCCGAAACATTTTACGGGTATGAAAACTCACCGAAAATGACATTTATTTAGGGGCAAAGTAGTCCGCGAGTTTTGCTTGCGCCTTGTCTGACAGTAGCAGCGGCGTCATACTGGTCATACGGCGTTCGAGCGCCCAGAGCGCTTGCACGGCATCTTGCTGCCCATGCGACGCTGTGTACCCCCTCAGTACGTCCATTGCGTCGAGCACTTCCCGAGTGCTCGTGATCTCGGCACTTTCTTCAGGATGGCGTCCAAAACGTTTGCTTTCTCATCCAAAGAAAGAACTTTACGTTTCCCTATGGCAGCAAGCACGTGAGTGAACCGCCCAGTTCAAAAATAAAGCTGTTTAGTTTAGGCGGTGCCAATGTTTCCAACCTACACAGCACTCTTGCCCGCACAGTTTACTTGCCCCCTTGCGCCCACAGGCCCACAGTGTGCTTGCGCCTTTGCTTTGCATCACGCTCGCAAGACGATAATCCAGCGATAATCGGTCTTCTCGGTCTTCTCCTAGATGGCACTGCCCGTGCGGTCGCGCCATCACGTCGCTCCCCCGCTGAAGTTGGCTCCCGCGCTACCCGCGGTACAGTGGACTATGATGATCAGTGAATGTCAGTGGTGATGCTGTTATGCCGTGTTAACTTTTTGCTCGGCATTTTCTGTCCAGCCTCGCGGAATCCGCTTTGCCGCATGCCTCGCCGGCGCTACCGGCGCCGCACCCTCGGGCAGCCTAGGTGGCCTAGGGACGTTGGAAGGCCTGTCCCCGTAAAGTAACCTATCAAGCGCTCGTGTTTGCGCATAATTTTTTTTTTAACCAGAATTTTTTTGCGAAGTTGTTTTTTAGAGTCTATTTATTTATTGCCTTCTATTGCAATGGCGCTTCGTTATATCGAAATAGCAGCAAAATAGACTTCGTTATATAGAGACTAAAAATACATGGGGTCTATGGGCAAAAAATTATGAAAAATAAAATACTTCGTTAAATCGAGGATTTCGTTACATTGAAGTTCGTTATATCGAGGTTCGACTGTAAAAAGTTTCAGAAAAATGAGTTAGTATTCTCAACGCCGTTCAAAGATATAAGAACGCATTTTTAGCGCGTAGCTGGGCGTCTAAATAGTTAAAGAAGAATCAAATTTAATGATGATGATAGCAAGTCGGAGCAATTCGGTTGCTGCGTGTGTACGCGGGCGGCCGGTGTTGCTGGTGTTGCGACGTCGAATTGCTGGGTGAAATTGCTCCGTCTGAAGCGGGCCTAACTTCGAGAAGCAACTGATGCTAAGTTACAATATGAAGTAAAAAGCTTTTTCTCATTTTTTTTTTGTGTAATAGAAAAGTAACTGAAAAGTAAAGTCGTTACTTTTTAAAAGTAACTGTAACGAGTTACTCTTTTGTTGTGGTAACTGTAACGGTAACTTCGCTACTTTTTTCTGAAAGTAACTGTAACGAATTACTTTTTAAAAGTAATTTACCCAAGACTGAGTTGTATGGAACTTACGAAATAAAGTGTAGCGAAAGTATTGCAGAACCCCATTAATCTGTTCCCCGTTGATACGTAACCCAACCGAAAAAACATCCAAATACCAAAGCCCCCCGGGTTCCCGGGAGCAAAGTTCAAGAACCCGTGATCTGAAGAGTGGCTTAGTCAGCTGCCTTAGGCGTACCGGTGTCGCAGCAGGGCTGGACTCTGCGGGGGGCGTCTCAGCGTCGTCGAAGATGCTGCGCCCCGTGTTGGGGTCGCAGATGGCCAGGACGCGCTTCTGCCTAGGCTGCAGGGGTTGGGACCCCTGGGGGGACGTGAGCTGGCCCCTGGGGGCCTGGGCCTGGGGAGGAGCCACCATTGGCATGGGACCGATGGCCGGCGACGCGTAGTACACAGCTGCAAGAGAGAAGGGAGAAGGTGTCCGGCGGGAGCTTCCAAAAGCCTAGGCCGCACCCCGTTTCACTTCAAAGGCTGGTCTACACATTTGAGTTTGACCGTGGTTGCCGCACTTTCTGTCGACTGGCCGGCTGCACAGCGAGCGACCGCAGAACTAGAGCCGCTTATGTGGTCGAGTCTAGCAATCTCTCGAACGTGCAGACAGTCTGGCAACCGAAATTTTCAATGTCGTCCCCACCGCCACAATTCTGCACCCTGAATGGCGGATTCTATGAAGGCATTGCAAACCCGAGCACTTGATTGTCCAGCTCTACTTCACTTCAGAAAGCATCTTTTTGTTAAAAGTAAACATGGGAAAAAAAAAAAAAAAAAAGAAGTTTATTTGCGAGTTCTGTAGCTGAAGGTCAATGAAGAATGAGCGGCACTTGGATACAGTGGTCAATTACAGGCATGAAAATGTCAGTGAACAAGAACTTTGTTTTTTCTATGGAACTAGTTGTAACCATGAATTTAGATTGGATTACTCGAAGTGGTCAAACGAGCCAGCTGTTGCTGTGGCCATAGTTTTGGAATCTTGGCCTAGGCACACAAGACTCCGAAACAAGCAGAGTTCTTGGATTACACAAGATAGGGGGGTTGTTTGGCCACTCCGTTCCGAGTGAACTACCACATTTTCCAGATTACAATTCGCACCTTTGTAAAAGCCGCACATCCATACATTTAGCAGTTTTCCTGGAAAAATTGGTATATAGGCAAGTCGCACCTCTGTATAAGTCACACCTCTTCGCACAGTTCAAGCGACGAGTTCTTTAGTTTACGCGCATTGATATCGCGAAATCGGAGTTCCGCACAATCGCTAGATCGCACGTTCCGTTTGACGCACGTTTCGACTCACGAGAAACGCCCATAGCATGGTGTTGCCTGGAGGGGGCAATTTCGCAGCAAAAGGACAAAAAATGTGCAAAATGAGAGGGTAGTCAACTTTATTCGAGCAAACGCATGCCGACAGAACGAAAGTTTAAGGAGCTAGACACTCGCAAACCAAGCTTTGGAGAACTAGTCCAAGCCTAGACCAAGTTCTGGAGACGACGCGAGCAACGATGCGCAGGCAGAAAGATAAACCTTGACATACTTTTTTTTGGTACCGCTTAAAGATCGGCTAGTCGCAATCCTTCCTCTTACATGTGGCAACACGGCTGGAGCATGGAACAAAAGAACTGCTTATCAAACTGACACTGAGAAAGACGTGAGAAAATATTCTGCAATGCGTGCATACCAGCCCTCTTACTTTTAAGCATTGCTGGACTGAAGCAAAATAATACGGAACCATGGCTTAACTAGCCAACATCAATAACATGCTGTAAAAGCTTTATTCTCACTGTCTTGCCTATCCACATTCAGCAGCTTCGGGGAAACCATAAAAATTAAAATATCTCGTATTCTAAGTCAAAATAGTGCGGCTACAGCTGTGCCTCCTGGGCCCGTTTTTTCGAACGCGGATTGTGGTTTAAAGTTAACTATTGTCCCTAGAAGAGGGAATTTTAGGTCACGTGACTGGGAGAGCAGGGGCGCCGAGGGAGGAGCAGTACATACAAGCAAAATGGCCGCGACGTCGCTTAATGAGGGTTAATAGTTCTGCTTGGTTCTGCTGAACATTCATTTCGATCCAGCTGTTATATTAATGACGCACCATCAGCTCATTAGCACGTCAAGCAAAGCGGTAGTTCAGAGGGACTATTAAACTACCGACGTCAGCATTCCGCGAACGCATCACTCTTCAGCAATCCGGGATTCAAGACATATGACGGTGCTTAAGCCTTGGAAGTGTTTTTATGGTGAGTAAAAAAATGTTTTGCGAACGAGTGTTGTTATATATTTATACTAACATGTTTAATTTGTTACACTATGCACGCCAACTCGTGAGTAGAGATTACTTTGCGGAGAAAGGGGGTTATCCTAGCTAAAGTCTTCGTTCCAGGTGAACAGCTGGGACATTGTATTGTTTTTTGTTGTTTTTTTTGTTCACAGTGCGCCGACAGTATGCCGACAGCATCGAGGTTTCTACATACCTTTTGTGGCCAGCAATTCAACGGTGATAAGAAGCTTAGCTTCTCGTCACCGGTGGATCGGTTGGGCAAACGGAAGAGGGGGCAAACAGTTGAAATCAGCAGGAATCGCAGAAACGTGCTTCGCAAGGAACAAAAACAAGACTACAGCACCGGCGTTGCCAGACTGGAAGGCACACGGGAAAGTTATGCGTTGTTTATGGCGAAACATATTGAAGGAAATGTTTCTTACATTTTCGAATATTCGTCGACGAACTCTAGCATAGAAGCAAAAATTTCTCCGTACCATCTGAAGCAAATAAAGTGGTCTTCAAGTACAACATGACTATATTTTGACTTAAAATACCACACTAGACCGATAACAACCAGCGGAAAAAGAGGATAAACAAAATGACTGGCTTGTTTCACCGATAGATGGCGCATCTTACTGCCCAATCATAAATAATTATGGTTGTTCTATATCCAGCCGTTTATTACAGTACCTAGGTACTTTTTCCTTCCTAGGCACCGTGGTTTACCAAAATGGGTTTACCATCGCTTCGAGAAAACCGGCCCTGGAGGGGGAAACACCTCCTATGGCTACGTAGTTATGGTGCTTTACATAAGAGGGTGCGCGGAGTATGAAAAACAAATGGCGTTACACCTCGCAAAAGAAAATCTTATACAAGTCGCACCAAAAAACAAAAGAAAAACGAAACTTACACACCGGGAAATATGCAATCTTAATTTGTGTTTACAAGTAGAGCTACAAGCTCCGCCCATTCACCAAACTCTCTCGATATACACAGCCCTGTGCAGAATTAACGACCGTCGTAGCCACCTCCGCTGCTCCGCCGCCTAGATTACGGCGCAACACAGTGTTACGGGCTTGCGATGACTCGCGGCAGAAATCGAGGAGACCAAATTAAGATTCTGAAAACATATTTCAGGCACCATAGTAAGGACCAGGGACATGCCTAATGATGCATAAGAGTGTAAGGGAGTATCTCATGAACATGTTTCGATCTCAATCGAAATACCAAGACAATAGAGGACAGGCAGTCACAAGACGAAGTGAAGAGACATTCCTAAGCAAGAGAGAGACAAGTAAAGAGATACCCACCTTGGTGCGGTTGTGGCATGTGCTGTTGAGGGATGTACTGGTGGTGGGGGTAGACGTACTGGGCCGTCGTAGTATTAAACTGGGACGTCCGCTGGGTCGGGAATGCCTGCAAGCGCGACGGGCAACGGCGGTGAGTCGGAAAACCCAAAGAGTCCGCCAAGCCGCTCCTCCGCTATTAGCAGACCTCGAAGCTAGCGGTCTCTACAAAGAGCGAGAAAACCTCGCTAAAAATCTGTCTATACACACCGGACAAATGCCAAGCCTGCTGTATATGGTTATGTGAAAAAAAGTCCCGGTTTCTTGGTTTCGAGAATCCGAGAGGAAAAAAGCGAGAAAGTGGATCATTGCCCTTGGCTCTCGGCAGATGTAGGGTGCCTACATGTTTCTGCCGCTCCGCTGTTTAGGGTGGCGACAATGTTTATGATACCCGTTGCCGACAAACCAGTGTTGCCTACCTTGTTACCTTGGCAACCTCCGCTGTTTTCGTCAACCATTTTGTCACACTCCCCGGTCATGCGCTGGCACAACGCCACTAATCCTCGTTAGGGCTAGGGTGCGCTCATCGCTCTCGTTCAGACGGTGAGGTTTTGGCGTGCGAGGCCGGTCTGTTGCGTTCCATTTAGTCGCGGGAACACGCGTTTCGTAATAGCAACGCACACTTCCTGCTCACAACTTCAAAATATGAAACACCCAAATAAAGAGAGCGACAGCCACCACGCTGAGCCTCGACCCCTCTTATGAACAGAAACGGAAGTGGCCTCACAGTGTTGCCGGTGTGTCGAGACTACAGAAACTCAACGTTGTTCATGTTTGACGAATTAAGAAGTGGGAAGAAATGGCGGTGGGAGAGGATCTGGGAAAGGATAACAAGAAGTTGGCGCCACCCTAAAGCGGAGCACAAATAGTAAGCACCCTAGGCAGATGCATTGATTGCAGTTTCAGTTGTAGGTGCTCCAGTTTAGGCACGGCCACTCCGCTGGGGTAAAACCAAAGGGCTCAGGGCGGCCGCAGGGAGTATTGCATCTTTCCCGGTGGCGCCGACCGGCGAAGCCCGAGCAATGCAAGAGTATTACTCGCGTTCACCGGGTTGTGCTTCTAGCGACCAGCTCGGGCAACTCGAGTGGACCGCAGTTACAGCGCGTCTCCCAGCAAAGGTTTAGAAATATTTGCCTCAAAATTCCAAGAAAAATGGGCAACATACATATATTACATCAGCTACGAAGGGATGAAAGAATTGTCTTTGGCACCCTTAACCCTTCAATTGGTTCGAGTGGTTGAGCTCGCCATTTGCACAATCGGCTTGTACTCTAACCGGACATTCGTGATGAACGCAGGAGGTCTACCAATACTCCCTCTCACTTAAGTTAAGACGCATCAGACGCAGCCAACGCCATGAGGTAGTGGGACCGATCTGACGGCGTCAAGAGCACACCATTGCGGTGTTCATCGTCAAAGCCCTGCGACTTGCGCTTTTAAGGCTGCTTGATTGGTCTCATTAGCTAGTAGCATCCGCTGCACGTAGACTTAACTTTAAATGAAGTATAGGCAATCATCTTCACCCGTGTATTCATCTATGCGCCTCTGTGGCCCCCTCTTTTTGGGACATTCCCGGCCAATCCTCGAAGACATTCGAAGCCTCCCATACCAGATACAGTGTCTCCAACGTGTCCTTAACTGGTGCGCTTAGTGTCCTATACCGCCCATGCGTCAGAAGCAGTCCCAAATTGGAAACCAATCACGTCGCAGGAAACTACACGTCGTGCTCTCGGATGCCGCAATTCTGGGGCCTTGTTGTAGGGACGCCAGAGAAAGAGCCGGCAGATGCAAGGGCTACCATCGTCGCAGCGTCCCACCTAGCGTCTGCTCGACTCTCTGGCCGGAGAGTGACCTACAGCGGAACAGGCGTCTGCAATGTCCACCTCTGCTGCCAAGATCGTGGCGTGCGTGTCACAAGCGACATCGGGAAGGAATTCGGGGACCAGAAGTGAAGACGCAGTAAACGCACCAGCCGGAGACGCGTTCCAAGCACTGCATCCCCTGTCAACCGAGAAAGGAGCTCTCCCTCACCTGGATGTTCATACAGTTGAGGATGCCCATGGGCGTGATGTGCTGCGTCGGGTAGGCGGCCTGGCTCGGGGCAAAGTTGATGATAGAGGGCTGGTAGTTGGCGGGGGCCTGCCCCACCGAGCCCGGAGGGGGGGGACCCCCTCCCCCGGGGGCTGCACTCAGCCCCATGGGAGGGGGACGGCCCAGGCCGCCTCCCCCCCGGCCCTGGTTGCCCCCCACCTGCTGGGGGGGACACTGACCCTGCACCTGCACGGACGGGGGCAGCCATTGGAGTCGGCATCCAGTCAGTCAAGCTAATACGGTAGGATCTCCATGGTAGAAATTCCTCGGGGTGGCAGAAAACATTTGTATCGTCCAAAACGGGCTCAAAAGTGCAGCTAAATATGCGTACATACTCGGTAAGAGGTTTGGGTGAGAAACTTGCCTTGATCCCAGAGGTGGTGCAACATCGCCGGTATTGCACTACCTCCGGGACTGGTAGACTATTTTATTTATTTCTTTAGCTCAAGACTCAGCTAAAGAGCCTCGGCTAGGGCTGCAAAAGAACTCCCTGGCCTTAGCCATAGTGACTGTGGCAATCGCAATTTCTCATGCTGCAGCGGTTGGCCTTGACTACAGCGGCTGCGTAAAGGGGTCGGTCGTTCACGGCTTAATGGAATGTGATCCGAGCTGATAGAATGGCATATCAAGGTGTCCTTTCTTGATATAGCTTTAAAGCTGCCCAAGTGACGGGAAGTGCCACGATGCTGTTTACCTTAACGTCCCTTGAGAATTTTAAAATCGACTTCACAGCCTTGAGGTCGGAGCATTTGTTTGTATCATCCACTGCAGCGAGACACGGCATTCGCATTATCCCAAAACGCAACATTTTACAGATACAACTTCTCGGCTGGGGTTTTTAAAGGGAAGCTGAAGAGCTTTTAGGAAATAGTTTGTTAATGGTTGATTCGAACGCGTTTCTGCCTGCCGAGTCCAAATATCACAACCGTTTGACCCAAAATAATCCCTAAACGCAATAAAAACAGAAGCGATCGCCGCAGCGGCACGCCATTGGCAAGTCACGCGTGACGCTCCACTACGACATAAAAGGACCATCTCGATTCTCGCTTGTTCCGTCGCTTGCGGAAGTAGTCGGGTGCTGAGGCTTCTGCTGTTGGAAATCGGGTTCGGCTTCCGATTTTTCTAAATCTTTCGATGGATCCGAAGGAGCAACATGTCCAGAGGACCCTCGACATGACCAAGTATGCGTTACAGCCATTGGCCCCCCCCCCCCAGTAACATGGGCAGACACGAGGAACCGCTTGTACCGATGCGACATGACCAACTGCATACGTTTAAGAATGTACTGACTGCTACTTATTGTTTTTTCGAGCATACTGACTGTTACTTATTGTACATAGATAAAAGGTTGACAATAAATGGAGTGTTATTGACGGGACGCATCAGGCTGGATTTGCATGATCCTCCCCAAAACGGCCGACAGAAGACAAGAATACAACCCACATCGGCCTTTATGCTTGGCAGCTGCTGGGACTGCATTGTTCACCAAGGCTCAAGTGGTTAGAAGGGATAGTACAATCGGCTGCAAGTGACGAAACAGCTTCCCCTCAGATGGGACGGGTGATGAGACAGGGTCACTGTTCTGCCACCTTGATGTCCTTGCATACTATGCAAGTAACTGCCCAGAAGGTCCATCCTTGTGGTAGCAGAACCCTCTGCTGCATCTTATTTGTCTGCCCCCCTCTTATTATGCAACGACAGCTTTAGAAAAAGCGGAGATATGTGCTCGGCAGCCCTCAATTTGATGTCGAATTCGTGAAAGCTTCCTGGGCCTCTACGTTCACATACTTCTCCCAAGATTTGTTGACTGCATTAGACTAACATTGTCCAATCAAATTTCTACGGCACAAAGAACCATTGCATGACACACAAACGTTGTACAAAAAACACTGCGTGACTTGTAAAAATAAAAAAAGAACTCAATTCACAACCGAATGTCGTATGCTTTATATCTTCAAAAAGCACTCCAGAAGAGAATATGAACCTATGGAAGGAGAATTTAAAGGGAAGCTACGGAGCTTCTTGGAAAAAATGAGTTAGAAGTGAATTCTAGTGTATTTTTACCCCGTGAACCCGAATACCCAGACCATTTGCTGCGTAAGTATTGTTAAACGCGAGAAAAACGCGAAAGACAGTCGCTGTCCGTGACGTCATCGACGGATCTTGTGGCTCTCCGGCGCGTCGCATTGAAATATAATTTTGATATCTGTTATTCTAAAGGCCAAATGAACGCAAATCAAACGTTTTTTCTCAAATGTAGAAGTGCCCCATCTTCCCTTTAAAGGGGCCATGAAACAAATTTTGGGCCAAATGATCTTAAATTGGGACTTTACTAATCGCATTATCGCTTAGTGGGCCAAAAAAATGAGGGTAGAAAGTCAAAAGCCAGCTTTTCGGTACAAACATTTGAAAATATAGTTGACTATTTCAGACCTTTTTTCCTTCAAAAGCCCTCCGCCCTTTCACTACGATACATCCGCCGTGCCCAAAGCAAGCCAGCGGTGCCAAAGTGACGTCAGCCGACCCCAGCTCACGCACTGGACACGAGAACTGCGCCACTCGGACGTATGCGCTCGTCAACAATCAATCAGTCGACGAATATTTGGATCCGCATTCGTGGCCAATGAGTGCCCTGACGGAACTTGTCGTCATTTGCGAATGACAAGTTCTATGGTGTGCTTAAAAAGCATAGTGGAAGCTTGGAGTCATCACACTGGTGCCCAAGCATGCCACAACGTTGTGATTTCTCAATTCGCCTTTGAGCTGAGGATTAAAGCTAAGGAGGATGTAGAAAAATTGTTTCATGACCCCTTGAACAAAATTTATGTTTATATTGAAAAAAATATGACCTCAGAGAGTATCAGCAACTGTAAAACAAAAGTCCATGCTGAAACAAGTTTCACCATGAAAGCCGCATGATTTTCACGCGAAACAAAGGAAAACAAACTTGGGTAACGGAGCCGGTCTGGGAAATATGAAGGTTTCGACGACATAAAAAGAAACCAAATCTAAAGCACTAATATAAGGCGGTCAATACAAAAGAGCCAGTGAAAGCCCACAATTTGGATACATGATCGCGGCTTTTCCAGTACACCGCGTACCACTAACAACGTAATAGCTTTTTTCTAGAACAGTCGACCGATAATTCTTTTCTAGTTTCATCTCCTCTTTGCATGTGCCTCTTAATGCGTTGAACTGCCTTCTCACTTTCAAAGGTGGTCGGCAGAGCGTCCGGTTCAGGTGAGCTTTCTTCAGACCCAAACGCATGTGTACAATCGGCAGTAAAAGTTTGCGGGGCACGGAAGCACCAGCTGTAAAGATGGGCTGCGCCTTCTCACGGCGCGATCCTGCTCTCAAGACTCACGCTTTGCACATGCGCTTTCTTTTTTGTTCGTAGTCATGTCTCTTTCGCTCACTTCCGTTCTACGCCCACGAGATAAAAGGGACTGGCGCAAGGTGCCGCAAAATGTTATCTGTAGCATGTGCGAGCTCCATCAGCCATCACAGTGGCTGAGGCAGACGTGTGGCACGATGGCATACAAGGCGGCATCTTGCGCTGGTCCCGGTTATCTCGTACATGTCAGGTGGAAGCGAGTAAAAAAGACATGACTGTGAACACAAAAGGAATCACGTACTCGAAGCGTGAACCTTGAGGACATCCACTTGCCGTAAAAAGGCACAAGCAGTCATTTCGGCTGACGCTCCCGCACACCAACAAAACATCTTGTTGCCAATAGTGTGCTAACTTCACTATGGGAACCGAGGATGGCACAATGCAGTGCAGCGTAACACAACGCATCGTGGTGAATACAAATATCTGAACCTGTCTCATCCTATAAAAAAGAAAAGAAGCCGACACTGAGCTGAGGGCAAATGCGTCGAGCCCTGAAGGCCGAAAAGCTGCAACCCCTTTCAGCAATTTCGTGCGACTGTCGCAACAGCTTGGGTCAGGTACCCCCCCCCCCCCCCCCCCCCCCCCAATTTCCCTTCTCTCAATGGACTTGACTTCCCTGTGCAAGGTGCAGGCTTTTCTCTCACCTGTTGGGGTGCTGCCTGTGGATTTGGCTGCTGTGGGGGCCCCTGCTGAACTTGCTGGGCCTGCCTCGAGTAGAATGCCTGCACGAGAAACAAAAAAAAAATAAAAAAAGCCGGTCAGTCATCATTCAAAGTGTCAAGCAAAACCATGGAGGTAGGAAGCTTCTGGAGGCGACATGACATAACCTAACCTAACCCAAGAATGACCAAAACCAAGAGAAGCTATTGGACGAAAAGGAGAATTGACTTGGCACCAAGAGCTGTTCTGGTCACCCTCGGGCATGCCAGAGGGAGACCAAAACAGCTGTTGGTGCCAAGTCGGCTCTCCTTTTCGTCCAACATACATGACTGAGTGTCCCAGTGACATGTGAAATTAGTTCCCACCTAAGCTGTACCCAATTGTGAAATTAATAAAAAAAATGCATAGAAACCAGGTTTCCCGACTTCACGCATTGTACGGCTACCGGTAGGTATCTCATTGCTCGCCCGCATCCAGTTCGCTTTCCCCCAGGAATAGTTCCTCCGACAATTTCTCGTTCCAGAATTTGTTCCAAAGGAGATTCTTTTGCACATTTGTTCGAGCACTTCACTTAATCTCATGACCGACCACAGCATACACCAGAATCCGTCGAAGTCAATCCAATGCCGTGCAAGTGTCATGCGACGCGTTCTAGGGCTGAAACGACCAGGATGGCTCGTGTCGCCCACTGTGGTCCCAAGTGAGAAAAAATGGAGTACGGTCTGCGCTCCCGTTGCCCGGCGAAGCCCCAACGTGACACAAATGAGCGGATAATCCGAGCTGCCCAAGGTCAAAGTCGCCTCAGAGATGGCCTCACCATGCCCTGCTGCAGGGTGCCGGCCAGGTGCTGTGGGGGGCCCTGTGGGGGCCCCTGCTGTCCCTGGGGAGGTGCACACTGCTGGGGAGGGGGCCCCTGCTGTCCCGGGGGAGGCGCTCCCCCTTGGGGCTGCTGCACGTACAGGGTCGTGCCGGGAGGGGGGGGCTGGGACCCCAGCGGCTTGCTCATGTCATGGGCCCCGCCGCCGCTCAGGCCGCTGCCAGGACTGCGCTGAAGCTGTAAGCGGCACAAACGTGCCCCCCGGTCAACAAGGGGCCGCAGGCGTCACCACACTTCGGAAATAAGAGGTACTGTTGAGACAAGTTATAACGAAGTCAATGGGAATCAGAAATCCCTTCGCTATATCCGCTGTTTCGTTATAAACAACTTCATTATAACCGGTCTCTGCAGTACACCACGCCTACACTTCGTTCACCCTGAAGCCGAGACTAGAAGCTCCACCGTCACCGCGAGCTCGCTGGCTTCCGCAGTGTTTTGGTTGCGCGTGCCTGCACGTTCACACTTGTGTTAGCAAGGGTAGAAAGCATGTGCTGAAGGCGGAGCTTCTAATCTCGGCTTAAGGGTGAAAGGAGTATACAGGCACACGTTTGTCGAGCGGAAATGTAGCAAATGCCCCTTGTGGAGGGCCGTCAGCTAAACTCCGCCGGAGGTTTCCGAGCATGTTTTTCCAGGCTGATCGATCCACGGCCGATGAAACGTCAGCACTGCACATGCCGTACTGACTTCTCAACGGCCACCGAGGGAGCAGATGTCCGACCATCAGTCGGGACTACTGTAGCAGCCCGTGGATGGAATGCAGCATCTTTACTACCTGTTGAGCCAATTTAAGAACTAAGTTCTAGGAAAAATGCGAAGGTACCCTTTTCTTACCACTGCAATGGACAGTCAAGGGCTGTCTACTAAATTGCTTTTCTAAAATTCAGACTTTTCCAGGTTTTGTCCGAACATTTTGATTAAATTCTCCCACCATTACAAAAAAATAAAAGTGTTTGCTTCTCTTATTCCGTGAAATATAGCGGTGGGGTGGCCTACGCTGACTGGCGATGCCTTGTGTGACTCTAGTAAGTTACAGCTCAAGAAGGTAGTGGCAAATGCCCCTCAGAGGGAATCATATATCCCTCCGCCACCTCCGCATCCAATAGCGTCCCATCGTTTCCGTGACATTCCATCCAACGCGCGAGGAGGGTCTTGCCTCCCTGTACACATTTGCTTTATCTTTCTACTTTAACTTAGCATTGTGGAAGCCACAAAAGGGAGATTAGTTTTCCCCCTCCGATGGAGCAAATACGACTTTCGGAGAGTAGGTTCCCCCTCCGATGGATACAAAGGCTGCTTTCAGGGGCTCGGACACAAGTTGGCATCACTCTGTAGCCAATATCTATCCAATGAAGCGCAACAAGGAGCGTTTCCAGTGAACTCTTGTTTCGACTGCGGAGGGATTTGAAACGGGCGCATCACGCTTGTGGGAGGAGCTTCTCCTACCTTCTTGACTTGTAGCTGCCTATACTACTCGACGCAAAGGCTATTTGAGAAAATTTTACAATATCCCCGACAATTCTTTAACTTTTATGGATACTTTGAAATTCCCCGAAAGCTCCGGGTTGGTAGGCACCCGGTCTCCTAGTTCCTCTGTGTTTGATGAAATGCGACTGTACGAATTGAACACGATTTCTTGGTTCAGACACTCCATTTCTGAACCAAGAAACGGAGTGTCTGAAAATGGAAATGGAGTGTCTGCCTCCCCATTTCTTGTCAGTGTGAGACTTTCAGCTGCACTGGGCTTTATGCAACAAAAAAAAAAAAAAAGTTATTGCACATTATTACAAATCTAGACACAGAGATAATTTTAAACAGGAACGCTTCAATGCTAGGCTGCAAACTCTTGCTCACAAATTCATACTCTGCATGAAAAATGCCAACATTCCCTTGCCTTATGGGGTTACAGCACATCAAAGGAGGCATAAAAGAGACATCACTTACAAAGGCCTGTAGTCTGTAGTCTTCAGTTCCTTTTGAAGAGAACATGGGAAAGAAAGAAAAAGAGAGAGAAAAAAAGGGGAGAACTGCAGTGAGCCTTTGGATCCAGAAGAGGAACACGGACCTCCAGCACCGACCGCGGTCGAGCAAAGCACGAACCGGGACAGCCCAAAACGCACATGTGATACTGACGTGGCTACTCACGGCAGAGAGCAGGATGTTATTGTAAGTGACACCAACCCAATGCTGTTTCCACCCCGGTCGTCACTCCCGAATTCCGCTGCACGATCTGCATGCAGGATCGTGTGGCAAAAAAATTCCGCCCCTCTTTTTTCTTTTTAGTTACTCCGTGAAAATGAAGTGTCCGCAGAAAAAGAGATCAACTAGAATCCGCTTCACGGCTTCCCGAAAGATCGAAAGGTTTTATTGAAATTTTGGCCCCGTTGAAAAACACAGAAAAGGCCACTGTAATCATTAACAAGTTTACAGGAAGTGGCCTGTACCGCAGCTTCATCAGCTGAGAACTGTTGGGCGGTCTGGAGTTGCCGGCTACCTTGCTTCTTTGCGGGAGCAGAATGAGGACCCGTTATTTTTCAACTTTTTACCAAGTTGCTCCAAGTCATGCTCTAAGTCAAATACCCTTCCTGCAATGCAAGCTCTCAGCTCACATTGCAGGAACAAGCAACATGTAAACTTTAAATCTTCACAAATGCAGAATACTCCCCCGAAGGCAGCAGAGACATGGACGAGGGGTGCCCAAAAAAAACGCCCCATTGTTTCGAAACTGTTTACAAATGTACTAGACCGTATGCATAACGGTGGCAATATAAAAGCAGATCCAGATATTTGTCTTTGCAATTACACGAGTGAAAGGATGTTGTACATTTTTACCAATATTTCATAGTCCTGCGTGCAATGAGAATGGAATCAAGAACAGCTCCTAGCAATTATTAGCATTCAGGTCACTATGCACGGGCGTACACTAGCATTACCCCGTGAAAGGCAAACTACCTCTCTTATTTTACCACCGACAAGGAAAGCGAAATGACTAAATGCATCGTGTCTGCAGACAAAGATCACCAACGCTTCTGAACACCGCAGACACACGCTTTTGGTGCACCGCACACACCACGTCTGAGCACTCCAGCAAAACAATTAGGTGCAGTTCGAACTTCGCGTGCCCGGCGATGCAACTACTCGTTAGAGATAACACTTTTGTCGTTACGATTATATTGTTAACAAAGCAACACTTCTCGTTTCAAAGTCGCATAAAACAGAACGAACGTCGAACAAGGTACCATGCAATCATAATGTGCCCCAGGGCCAAGCAAAGCAAAAGCCTCTCAAGTACGAGTAACTTGACTGTAACAAGATTCTCAGCATATGTTTGCCGCTCCTCCACCCAGAGCAAACTAGAAGCCGTTGCAGTCCGTCGCAATGCCGGCGGTACCACCGGCAGGGACATCACGATGGCATGCTCAATTTCACCATATGGCGGACTTTGAAGGAAGCTAGCATCCGAGCCAATCCAACATTGTGCAGGTGTCACATGACCTTAAGGAACGCGAGACATTCGAAGGTTCGGGTAGGCTGCAACAGCTCGTAACCAGGGTTCCGTATATTCGGTAAATACCGATGAACCCCGAGAATTGATCCCGGAGGCTGTCTTATCAAAGTCTGGAAAACCCCAAGACCCCCGAATTCAAGCTGCCCTTGAATTAGTCAAACCCAAGCTTCGCGGGAAAAAAACTATCTACGGCTTTATTTTCTGTTGACCTGGAAAACGGACCCTACCCACCCGACAAACTGTCTGCAAGGCTGCTACTTCGGAGCCACTCGCCTTGTCTCATTCGCTTCCATAATCAGTAAGGGTACAATTTCCAAGTATTTGGGTTGTCCGTACGTTCCCTGGAGGTTTGGAAATTCCACGTCCATGCCCCGTTTTATTCCGCGAAAGTCCCTATTTTTCATCGGAAACCAGAAATATATGTCGAAAAACACCCAGTCTGTGGGAAAACATAAGCCCTGAAACCACTGAACCCTACTTGTAACGCCCACCGTGGCCCATCGTAAGGGGAAACCAAGTACAGTGACTATGCCTACACCGCTGGTCTGCCCTTTCAACGCTTCCGTGACCGACCGCCAAAATTGTGACAATCTGTGGCATTACCCCCGTCCCTCCTGCAACACACTTTGTCCCTATCTTGTGGACATTCCGATGCGCAGCAAGTTTGAAAATCTAAACGCACCATTTTAAGATGCGTCCCACGCACTGTAGTTTAGAGTCTGAACTTGGAACGAGCAATCAAAAAATTGTTTGCCAGAAACAAATGCAACTACAAAGCTCCAGAGGTTAAGACGTAATGCTGCGTCAGTTATGCGAGTGCTGCGTCACTTTAGCCTTGGACTGGCTAGGTAAGGTCCCACTATGGTTGGCAACGGGATAAAAATACCTAGGAAGCTCCGCCTCCTACTGTGCATGCCCGCCAGACATTGAGGTGTCACCAAAGGTAGAAAAGCACATGCTGACCAAACCAACTGCTGTTGTCGCTTGCAGAAGAAAAAAAAAAAAAAAAAAGACGCTATTTTTAACTAGCAAAATTACTTCATACTTTGTTCGCCCCCAAGCGAACAGTGTAATGAAAGCTACGAGCTCGCCGGACCAATCGGACGCCTCTTCTTCGTCACCTGACCCTGCTTTGTGTGTGGGTACAGACAGATGCAAGCCCGATCAAGTGGTAAAAGATGCTTGTGACTGGTCCAATGAGCATGCAGCTTCCACCATACTGTCAGCTCAACACAGAACAGAGCATGGCCCTGACCTCCACCCGTCATAGCACGCCCCGCGCCTGGATACCCACTCGTGCAAAGGCGTTATACTTACGAGGCACCTGTACCGGGTTCGAACCACGGTGTTGGATACTGGAGCAAGGCAGTCAAGGGAGTCAAAAGGTCTCGGGCACACAAAAGGCGTTATACTAGAAACAAACAGAAGCATCTAGCCTCGTCCACACCCTCCGGCTTCAGATCGACCCTCCGGCGGCCAAGAGGAATCCGCAGAAGCGGAACAAAAGAGTAACATAAAAAATAAAAGAGCCAAAGATTTCCCACCACGGCCAGGTCAGTATATCCGCTACGAAAGCAAGAATGAAGCAAGCTGGGGGAATGGTTGATGCAGAATTACTAAACCACAGTGCAATATTGACTACAGCTCCCTTTAGTTGCACTCTTGTTGAAACCAGGTAAAATCCCAGGATTAGTTTTGTACGTAACATTGTCCTCATACATTCAGAACTGCTGTTAACTGCTCTCAAACAAGAGATTTCTTTCAAATATTGGGTTGTTTATTCGCGACTCCAGCAAAACGGACGCTGCCAAGCGGGAAAACCGGGAACCAGTCGGTCCAGGTTGCTCCGCGCCCCGCCGCGTCTCCGGTGGCTTTCTCGGACACGTGCTGTCGGCGCGGGGACGAGCAATGTAATTTGACGAAGGTCCAAACATTTCTTAAATTTGCCTGAGTGTTCATTAGTGTGGTGAAGCCTCGGTAGATTGTTTCTTTCCATCACATGCTTGAAAGCCCGTCTAATCACATTCAAACTGACGACTACTTGGTAACTGATAAGTGGTTTCTTTATAAGGATGTAGAACAGTGGACTGAGGTCGACAGACGAAGTGTTTCACTGGAAGGAACACCAATGTTGCAGTCAGGTGAATGGGAAGGTTCGATAGCTGCTTTTCTCGAGTTTGGTTGTGCTCGATTAGCTTCAAGTTTTAGCCACTAACGCCGGTTATTCATCTTGGCTGCTTTTCGCCGAAAAAGACTACACTGAAGGAGTTGGGCGGATTTCGCAATTACTTGATTCAGAAAACCTGCTCGCTGCATATGATTAATGAGGGAAATTATCTGCTTTCAAAGGGTGGGGAACGCGTCTCGCAAAGTTAGAAGCTGTCACGGCATTAGGATCTATCGCGCCTCCAATATTTATATTATAACCCCTGTCGAAGCCAACAGCAATATATGTCTACATTGCTCAGGTTGACCGGCCACAAAAAATACTCATTTTATCCGTTCAGGATTCGAAGTCAAGTTCAATGCAGACTGAATCTCCGATGACGACTCTCCTCAGTTTGTCCGCATTCGTCTCCGTTCTACCGGCTAGAACCATTTGGCTAAGTTTAAGTAGTATCTATCTGTCTGTCAAACATATTTTTATTCAGCAGTTCACCTAATAGTTAGTCAACTAAGCTCATATTTCAACCCGAAGAATATGCTAATATCGCTTTAGTGGGACACAGTACGTAATATAATACATAATCCGCATATTCGTCAAAATGACTTCTCGATTGCTACTAAAACCTGAATTGAAATACGAGTATCAGCTGCTTAGTGAAGCGCCAGCGGGTTAACATGCTCCTTGGCTCAAGAAGCGCTTGCTTAATTTTCGTAATTTCGCGGACAGATAAGTCGCATGGTCGAGGCATGCGAGTTAGCTAAAAATTACTCTCGGTGGAACAATTTTGTAGCCATCGCCGCTTTCCTTAGATGATCAAAACTAATTAGAGTCTATTACCGTTTCTCCGGAGCCCATAGTTTCGGTTTTGAACGAAGTCTCCGAAACGAAAGTTTGACATGAAAAGAACAAAAAACACCGGCAAAACAAAACTATGCTCGGCAAGTTTATGCGCACCGGCTACACTTAACCATCTCAGTTCAAATATCCATAAAATTGGGCATTAAACAAAAGAAAATCTGTTAAATTGAATGCGCCACCCATTCAGGCGGCCCGGCCGAGCCGACGCGACCTGGACCCAGCTGCCATGTTTGTTCGGTGGTGGCGCCCCCCCTATAGGTCGCTGGAGTCGCGAATAAAGTGTCACCTACGTTGCGGGACCTGACAAACTTTTTCGTACTGGGGGCATACTGGGACCCAATTTCCAAACCCTTCAGCAGCATATCTGAACAAAAAGGTCAGATGTCGAGCAAATTGCAACGAGCATACATGAGGTACTTGTGTAGTGTTGGACACGTCTC